ACATATTTCGTGCCAGCCATTGTTGCGGGTTCTCAAGGAGTCAAAAATGGGTTAAGAGAGACAAGTCTGCCTCAGGAGCTGACAGTGCCACGGCGGAGAGAGAGAATAATGAATGTAACATTTAGGTAAAACAACCTAGGGTTTGTGTTAAGGGCCGCAAGAGAAAAGAACACACTGCTTTGAGTCAGAATGATCGGCTGAGATGAGCCCTAATTTATATGGGGAGACCTAACCTAAGTGGGGCTGAGGAAGGCAGAAACTCTTTCCTAAGGAAGTAGCGTTTTAGCTGACACGTGGAGAATAGGACATGGCCAGCTAAGGGAAGCGTGGCGTGGTGGGAGAGGAACCTTCTCAGTAGAAGTAGTAGCATTTCAAAGGCCTGAGGCGATAAAGGTGATAAAAAAATATCAAAGGAAAAACAAAACTGAACAAAAGCCCCTAAGGCTGGGGCCTAGTGAGTGAGGTGAGCGTGGCACTGTTTCAGGTGGCAGGTGATGAAGGCCTCAAAGGCCATGCTAAGGGGTGGGGTTTTAAGTACAATGGGAAGTAACTGAAGTGTTTTAAGCAAGGAGTGACATGATCTTACTTGATGTTGAGACTGCCATCTGTTCATCAAAGTCCATTTGTCTTTTCCCCTGGGCTCACAGCCAGCTTCCATTTCCTGGCTGTCTTTGCAGTTGGCTGGGAGCCATGCGGCTGTATCCTACCCATGGAAGTATTGGTCTTGGTGAACACCACGACCAGGGTCAGCTCATAAAACCTCCCATGCGGGCTTCCTCATGCTGGTACCCTTCTGACTGGGCAAGCCTGGGAGCCCTGTTGAAATGCCAGAGTGGCCGTCTGCCTAGGCGTTTGCATGGGTGTACGGTGCAGGGCCCCCTCCCAGCTGACCTAGAGCTGTCCTTTACATGAGCAAGAAAGAAGCACCTGAGGTTTTGAGCCATTACACGTTCAGTCTCATTTGTTAGCACATTCTAGTTTGTCTAAAGTAATCTGACAGTTTGAAACTGCGATTTTGGCTGCTCTGCTATGTAAAAATGTGAGATAGTGTGAGCAATAGCAGTGGCCAAAGTGAAATCCCCATGGGGATGAGGAAGATTTCAGTTGAAATGGATTTTAGATCATTTTCTATGTAGAATCAACAGCTCCTACTGACAGTTTGCTATATGTAGTAAGCTTGTGCGGAAATGAATCTTGATTGATTTGACTCTGAACTGCTACATCACTTAATTCCTGGCCTTTCTATAGCATACCTCACTGAATACCTTTAGGCATGTACTTTATTTGACTAGATTGTACTTGATTGGAGAGCAAACAAGCCATGTCTTTAAGATTTTTATTTGCTATGGCATCTAGGACAGTGCTTTAGATAAGGTACTTTTTTCATTAAACTTTGCTTACATTTATGAATAAAAAGGTAGACTCTTAGATTTCCTGCCTGTGGAGCTGTTGGATGTCATGTGACCCAGTTCTGGCCTTACCGCTAACATTACCTCAATCTGGCTTAAATTGTTTTGCCTTCTAAGGGAGAGGTTTAGCTGTGTTAAATTCTGTTTTACCTGTGGCCTACTGGGGAAAGGAACACTATGGGGCCTAGTATTTGAATGTTTCCAATGGAAGGTATGTAAAAATGATTTTTAATGGCATTCGAGCTGATCGTCACTGCCCTCCTCATGACTTTCAAGCGTCCCCAGCGACCACTGCCCATTACTCAGAGTTGCTGGCTACCTCAGTGACCACTATCTCCTTCCAGAATCAGGCATTCATCTCGGAGAATCGTGATTTATGGAAGGTCTTCAGATAGGGGGAAGTTTCTGTAGGCTAAATGAGCAATGATGAGCTTTGTAACTAAGGAAGTGGTGGCAGGAAATAGGAGGGAGAAGAATGTCAGAAACTTTATGGAACATGGTGACTGAATGGATTTGGAGCAAAGAAAGGACTGGAGTAGAGATGAATAAATATTGAAGCCCCATGCTGATATACTTCAAATTATAAACTTAAATATGTATCAACAGATCTGTTTCCAAGGTAAAGCCAGTTAACGCTGCCTACCACCAACAGATGGCGTCAGTGATGAGACTGGACATTTCCACGGTGGACGTGGTACTGTTGGTTAACTTGCTATATGCTTTAAGTGTTTGTGCCTAGTTTGGGTGTGTTTTATGAACATTAGTAGCCCATCCATGCCTGTGAGGACAAAAGCGGTGATATTGAAATTACTGGTAAAAAAGAGATGTAAGAATATGACACCAGTGCTAAAGAGATTAAAATAACAATGGAAAAGCATTAGAAGCAAGTGGAAATTGTATTTGTAGGAACAGCTCTTTAGGGTGGCTCTAATCTAATCAGTCCTGTGAAAAACACTGCATTTCACAGGACAAGAGCAAGGGAAAAGTAACTGACCAGCTGAGAAAACAGCTCCACATATTGGACTTGGATCTAGAATTTCAGTCTTACTGTTGAATGCCACCCGCTCAACATTCTTTTTAGAGAAGGCTAGAAGTTTGTTCAAGAGGGTGAGGACTAAGCATGGTGAAAGAGCTGTGGTGATCCTTTCTTGTAAGACATGCTTACCTGAGTTCAAGGGCTGTTTGTGGATGGACCAAGGGCATGTGGAGGTGCCATGGCCTCTAAGATTTCCCTGTAAGGCTTATTTAGTATTTGAATGTTTCCAATGGAAGGTATGTAAAAATGATTTTTAATGGCATTCGAGCTGATCGTCACTGCCCTCCTCATGACTTTCAAGCGTCCCCAGCGACCACTGCCCATTACTCAGAGTTGCTGGCTACCTCAGTGACCACTATCTCCTTCCAGAATCAGGCATTCATCTCGGAGAATCGTGATTTATGGAAGGTCTTCAGATAGGGGGAAGTTTCTGTAGGCTAAATGAGCAATGATGAGCTTTGTAACTAAGGAAGTGGTGGCAGGAAATAGGAGGGAGAAGAATGTCAGAAACTTTATGGAACATGGTGACTGAATGGATTTGGAGCAAAGAAAGGACTGGAGTAGAGATGAATAAATATTGAAGCCCCATGCTGATATACTTCAAATTATAAACTTAAATATGTATCAACAGATCTGTTTCCAAGGTAAAGCCAGTTAACGCTGCCTACCACCAACAGATGGCGTCAGTGATGAGACTGGACATTTCCACGGTGGACGTGGTACTGTTGGTTAACTTGCTATATGCTTTAAGTGTTTGTGCCTAGTTTGGGTGTGTTTTATGAACATTAGTAGCCCATCCATGCCTGTGAGGACAAAAGCGGTGATATTGAAATTACTGGTAAAAAAGAGATGTAAGAATATGACACCAGTGCTAAAGAGATTAAAATAACAATGGAAAAGCATTAGAAGCAAGTGGAAATTGTATTTGTAGGAACAGCTCTTTAGGGTGGCTCTAATCTAATCAGTCCTGTGAAAAACACTGCATTTCACAGGACAAGAGCAAGGGAAAAGTAACTGACCAGCTGAGAAAACAGCTCCACATATTGGACTTGGATCTAGAATTTCAGTCTTACTGTTGAATGCCACCCGCTCAACATTCTTTTTAGAGAAGGCTAGAAGTTTGTTCAAGAGGGTGAGGACTAAGCATGGTGAAAGAGCTGTGGTGATCCTTTCTTGTAAGACATGCTTACCTGAGTTCAAGGGCTGTTTGTGGATGGACCAAGGGCATGTGGAGGTGCCATGGCCTCTAAGATTTCCCTGTAAGGCTTATACAGGGGAAGGAAGGGACGGAGTGTACCTGTTGAGAGAAGTCAGAATGGAAGGGAAGGGACTAATTTGAGTGCATTAGAAAAATTACAATTAAAGGCATGTCTGCTGGAAACAAATGCCATTTGGTAAGGTGTACCTACCTTTCATTTCTGTTTTGCTTGACACAGAGTGGTAAAGCCATTAGAGCAACAGTTAGAAGAGATGAGAGCTCCCCTGCCCCCAGCCCCCGCCTGTGTTCCATGAGGGCCAGTGAACTCATATTTTAAAATGCAGAATAAGTTAAGGGCCTGAGAAGAAAAGTATGATTTACCTACAGATCTGACATATATTTTTTAAATAATTGCAATTCCCATACTAATACATTATTTCTTCAACTTTGTTTTCAGATAAATGTACTGAAGTTTAAAATGATACAACATATTAATGTATGACCTTTAAAGCAGAATTATGAGCTGTAACTGTTTGACTATAATGTGGACTTGATATTAATGAGGAACAAATTCCAGACAAAACCATCATTTCTCTTCAGCTACCATCCTTTCTAATTGGGTGTTTTCTAAATAAACAAAAGATGAAACAGAAGCAGAAAAAGACCCTAGACAGAGTGACGGAATGACTTGAATGTAAGGATAGGCTCTTCAGTGTGAGAGGAATAAGCTTGAGGAGGAAAAAAAAAATACATCAAATTATGAAGTTAGATTAAAATAGGACAAATATAACTTAGTTCTTCAAATTAATGAATATTAGTAATGTGGAGTTTCTACTGAAGCTTTGAGTGGCTGTTTGAAGACCAAAATAACCTTTGTATTAAGTGCACTATGGAACTCATCCTTCAAATACCGTAGTGGAAGAAAGATGTTAATGAATTTTAAAAAATATTAAATATGCATAGACAGCAGCTCCACAATGGGTTTTTATGGGAAATTGGAGATGTTTCTTGATTTGATGTATCCCATAAGATTGCTTTTAGAAATAAAATGCCAAGTAGAATGTAGAAGTGTAGTCTGATGAAATATATACATTCATGATTTTCTTATTCTTACCTGATATAAAGTTCTTATTCTTCCTTATATGAACATTTTTGTTCCTATCTTCTGTGAATATTTACCTTCTATGGATTAATTACTGATATTTAATAACAGTTTAATCATTTTCAATATATAGCCGAAAGTGGAAAGAAAAAACATTAGTTTACACAAATTATATTCTTGCCATTTAAAAAGGCACTTGTGAGCTAAAGATGATATTTCTTTTTTTTAAATGAACATGTTTTATGCTTTCTCTAGGCTGGAATGATAAAAAGTGATGATGGTGAGTATTTCATTGAACCTTTGGAAAGAGGTAAGCAGATGGAGGAAGAAAAAGGAAGGATTCACGTGGTCTACAAGAGGTCAGCAGTAGAACGGGCTCCCGTAGACACGTCCGAAGGCTTCCACTACAGAGGTAGGCATCTTTGACAAGGCTTAATAATTAACTGTAATTTTAAGATGTAACGGAAACAACTCTCCCATTAGTTAAGAGAAAGTGATTATCATGTGCTCTTGTGTAATGTGAAAGTAGCAAAAAAAGTTGATATTTATGAATCATGAGCTACGGCTTGCCATTTTTAAACATCTGGAAGAATATATTACAGGTACTCTTACTCCAGTGCACTGTTGTCTCCCATTATGATTTCTTTTAAAGTTTCACATTAAAGTGATCTTTTCTCTAGCTTCTGTTAAAATTTGAAAGTATTTGTGCCTTCCAGAAGTATCTAAATTACACTTTATTAATATTGTTTTAAAACTTTTTAAATGAGATATATTGATACGGCAAAGAGTGTGTTTTGTTTAAAACCAATGTAATGTATTTGAAAATAAGAATGCTAATTGACTTCAAGGTGTCTTTTGCAAAACTTTTTACAATTTGGAAGAGACGATAAGTTGAATGATTCAGTCAAATTTTATTTCAAAGTAGGTGGACCACTAAAGTCAAATATGGCACAGGAAGGTTTTCTATATTTTTGTTTTAATGAAATCTGTAAGTAATTTGGTACTAGAAAGATGTTCTTATAGGTTGGATATAGTGGCTCCCTTTATGGAGAAGACAGGAAATTTGAGAATCGTTGTTTTTTTAAGCCAAATCCCAAAAATCTATATTTACTTTTGCCAGGCCAACTTTCTGAATTAAAGGTAATGGAAATTTCCCCTGGAGAAATGTCATGAATATAATCTTAATGTAGCTGTCATATATCTTCTAGATTAATGATGTCTTGCCTTTTGAGAGTTGTTACCTAGTTTGATTTTCAGATGTCACCAGCTTTCCTTAATATATTGTACTAATGGAATTGTACTATTCCATTTTAAAATAAATTTAAAATTAAGATGGCCTGAAAAATTTTTGAGCAATTTTTGATTAGAAACAATAGAACTGTTATTAATGGGTGCAGTACTATGAAAGGTGTGCCTATCGTAGGGGATCACTGTGATGTAATGGAAAGAGAATACACTTTGCAGCTAGATAGACAGGGCGAGTAATAGTTTTATAACATGATGTTGTTCTGTTACCTTAGATTAGTAGTTAACCTTTCTGAGCCTCAGTTTCTTTATCTGCTAATAGATAATTAAAATACATTGTGCAATTGTAATTAGTATTAGAAATAATACATGTAAATTGCTTAATGTAGGCCTCAACTGTAATAGGTGGCTAATTAATGCTAGCTGTAATTATTAATATTAACTATTTTGTACAAAAGATTGCATGTTAGTTTTGCTAAAGTTGAACAGTTAGGCATTGCTTGCCTTTATGTTGTGAATAAGTTATGATTAATTCTCATTTATATTTTCATGTTTTAAAACTTAAATTCTAAATAAAAAGGCTGATTATATCCAAGGATGGACAGCACAATACTTTTTCTATAGTCTTGGTGATTATATATAATATCTCTTTTGGAGCAGCGGTAAAATGTCTTTTCTAAAAGCATAGTCCACGTGTTATAGAATCATACTAGAGGACTGAAACCAATGTAGTCACTATGCCATGCCCTCCCCATTTGCTTTATCTGTTACACCCATAGTTTCACCAGTCTGTGCCCTATTGCCCCATTTCAGTCCCTGAAGGTATCTGTTTCTGTAGTCAGCCCTTTACTTTTCAGTAGTCTGATATTTACCAAAAAAGGAGAATTTATTTGTTTCTTGAAATAAGAAAATTGTGAAAAATGTTATGTCTAATATCTATTGTATTTTTAGATACCAGTTTAGAGAAAATAATCTAGTAGTCAGGGTATGTAAATTTGAAAGACTTAGACAGGATTAAAATATCAATTCCGGCAGCATCAACATCAATGTACTCAGATTTTGTAATGAGTTACTTTTAAGCATGCAGACATTGAAGACTGCTTATGTTGAGATTTTCAATTGTGAATAGAAGATTACTTTATAGTTGAAGGAGGTCACAAACTAGAGTAATACATTTTGGAAAGGTTTTCAGCTGTTATGGGTCAAAGCAAAAGGAGTTCCTATATTAACTTTCAATTACCTTAAAAATGACCCAAAATAGAATGATTCAGTTCTCTTAGAATGTTTTGTGATAAACCTTAGAGTGAGCTTAACAATTTTTATTTCCCTATTTATGAAGTTCTGATTGAACTGAGGTGCTGGTGATATCAGTTTACTTCCTTTTTTTGAATCTTAAATTGTGTAACCATATATTTTAGAAATGCAAATCTCTTCCTAAAGTAAAAAAAGATTCAGATTAAGAACTTTAAGTACCATTCTAAAACGTAAATTCTTCTTTTAACTTCTTGGTCGCATACTGAGAGCCAAGCTTTTTCTTAGACTAAATTCTTTCCAGTGAAATTAAGAATATATTTTTATACCTTATTCCATCATTCTAAAATGTAAAATTGAATGGATTTTAGGATTAGAAAAGCACATTTATTTATAAATGCAAACTATTAGTATCATATAAAACACTACATTTTTTGGATTGGTTCAGAATGTTATTTTAGGACACACAGGAGGTCTTTCTTCAATGAGTTATAGGAAGAGGAATACAATATTAAAATAAGACTTACTTAGAAAGAAATGCCTTTGAGGGCCATGGTCTTCATAAATTTCTCTGATGTCATCAGGAGGACGGTTGATCATAAGCCAAGCACTTCTGACCCTCTAGTTTCATCGGTAGGGCCCCTGAATATAAATATTCTGCTGCATTTTGCTAGTTGTCACAGTAATTTCCCAGCCACATTTCTTACTTTGTCAGTTTAGCAACTCAGAGCTGCCATTTATTTGAGTTCTGTAGTTTGTTGCAAATGTTCTAAATTAAAACCAATCATGACCTGAACTAGGTGTGTAGAAGTGAGGTGGAGAGAAGGAGTCAGATTGGATTGTGGTTGAAGGAAAACTCATTGAGTGGAGAGAGAAAGAGAGTGATCAAGGGTGACTCAGAATTCCAGTCTGGAAGACTAGAGAATTCTCTTTCTAGAATCCAGGTATTAAAAAAAAAAAAAAAATTGAAATAGGCTTAGTGGAGGATGATAATTGGGTATAATTTTGTATGTATTAAGTTTGAAGATGCATTGGAAAAGCGAGTGGATTTTTAAAAATGAATACTGTATTTTCATAATCATGTCCCCAAGTCAATAAATGCTGCCTTTAAATTCATATTGTGGTAGGGGTGGGTAGAGGGTTAGCTGGGGAGTCAGGTGGCAAACTTGGAATGTCTCTGCTTGCCTTCTACTTTCTCTTTCCCAATTCTATATTAATGAGAATCAGAAGGTGTACGTTGTACAGAACTGGGAGCTCATGAAAACTGTTTGCTATTTATCACTATAGGAGAAGAGGACATTATGTCCTCAAAAACAAAAATGAAAAAGAAACTGAAAACAAAACAAAAATTATGCTGCAAGGATGCTAAGCTATTCTACTTGACTGAATGCAAACGTCTATTTCAATTCCTTATCCTCTGAGAACATTTATCTGGGTTTCCAGTAAGTCACAGCTTTGAACCTGTTGAGATAATATATTATATGGTGCGATTCAACAATAACAGAAACCCTCAACCATTTCCACATATTGCATAGATTCCTTGACTCTTAATAGGGAATTTGTATGTTTTTGAAATGTGGAAAAATGAAGAGCTGTTTAGAAATATATTGAGCTTGCAAAATCACAGATGCAGTACTTTGCTTTAGAATTACTATTTTACAAATAATACTTTGTTATAAAGTTTTACATTTGGCAGTAAAAATAATCTCTTCCAGTGCAGAATTGGCAGGTGTTCATAACGCATAGCACTGCTATTTCTGGTAAGGAATACCATCCTTTTCATTCAACAGCAAGCATAAACTTGGCATGCTTATGATAAAATACTCATCTGCTTCATCACTGGAGAGTTGAATTTACTGAATCTTTTTTCTGATTTCTACTTTGGGAGTATGGATATCACATCCATTTTTGATATCTTTAAGTTTGGGCAAAATAATTTTATATTTTACTTTTTTGAAATTTTACTGGGTAACAATGTGGTTAATAAACCATTAAGGGTCATAAAATTCACCTCTACTGTTAATCCAATCATCAGTCTATACTCGGATAAAAAACAAAATATACCCCTGACCAACTTTTAAGAATATCTACATTGTCATCAATAAGAAGTTTGCTTTGGGCAGGCTATTTTTGGGGAAGGGAAGCAGTACTTGCATGACATCATTCAGCTTTTCATATTTTTTATTTAATCCCTAGGCCTTTCGGCTTCTCCCCTGAAATTACAAACTATTCATTCACCAGAAGCTTTGTGTTAAAGTACTTTTTGTAATTACTTCCTACCAGTGGGAAGCAAAGAATAGTAAGCCTTTATCTCCTAGCTTCCTTTCAGGATTGTCACTTTCCTGCATGGACCCACGTGCCTGTGTGGCTGGTACGGTTGTCATGGCGCTGTGAGGAGGGCCTTTGTCCCAGGTGGGAAACATGCACAAGTCAGAAATGATTTGGGAGTTGCTCCTGGTTGCCAGGGAATGAATCTATGAAACAGGAACTAGAATAATGGGAAGACTATTCCTTACTTTAGTAGCTCTAGGAACTTTATAAGCACTTTGTCCTTCCTTGAATCTGTGGATTCATCAGTAGGTGTTCTAACCCTTTGTATTTGGAAGTTCTCATGACCTATGCCCTGAACAAGGAGAAACATCAGCGGGCTTTGTAACCCACTAAAAGGGGGAAAAAAAATCAAACAAGACAAATTAATTTTAGCAGATGTCTTATTATTAAATGAAGCATGGAACACAGTATTACTAAATCATTAAGATATGTCAAATAGCAAGCATTCTTTTAGGGAGATGTTAAGTGATAAATTTTTCACAACTGCATAGTTTAGTTTATAATATAATCTAAGGGTCACTCCTTTGTCAAGGTTACTACTATTGGATTCATATGGAAATACTAATCATATTTAGGGAATTCCTT